GTGTACATCATTTCCTGATTACATTACATTACGTTATTACATGAAGACGATTATTGTTAACTAAATTAAAGTAAACTGAAAGAATAAATTGTTTATTTTATTCATGTAGAAATGAGGCACACTTCAGTAAAGTGAACTAAATGCCTCACTTCAGCAACACTATGAATCACTTCTAAAAAAAAACGGTGCTCTAAACTCAAATGATTCAAATGTGTCACTCCCTTGCGCGTGCATGTCACATCAATGCAGTTCTTGCCAAAATTGTGTTGATGTAATTTATGTTATTCATATGTTATTAATGAACCGTAACTGCAGCCCTTTTTAGGCTGATAGATATTTATAACCAACATTTATTTCCCAAAAGACTGTCAGAGTTGAGCAGATCCTGACTGTTTAATCGTGTTCACACTGACTGTGTTATTAGCTCTACATGCTGCCCTCGTGCAGGCCTGAATGCGCAGTACAGATAGAGCAGAAACAGGACATTCCCTGTGGATGTGCTCCACACAGAGGGCACATACAGTATGTAACCTCAGCGCTGTAAATAAGTGAAGGCTTCGTGAACAATGTGGATCAGCAGCCCCTCTGCAGGAGGATGTGCATGGAGCGCTTTCCCTCCCGAAACCCCCACCAGGCCCGGATACCATCCCAGCCGAGAGGAAACTTCACTACTGCACTTTGAAGCTACGATTACACACTCAAACACATTGATGTTCTCTTACTGTTTACACGGAAAGAACGGAGGCATTGAATCTGCAGGATTAAGACGTGCATCATTTTTTCATGAAAATAGCATATTACATCGGCACAGTTTATTGTCTTTCAGATTACTAATCTTCATAACTGTTGATGTATTGCACTTCATTCATGTGGAGAGTAAATTCAATAGTGGATAAAGATTTATAGTATACATCATGATCTCATGTCTGAACATATATTGAACTTCTTATGCACGGATTTGGTCTTCGTGCTGCATTATTTTAAGCCTTCGTCCCTAATTTAAGCTTCTCAGCCCCCTCAGCTCCCCTGCGCTGTTGTTGCCGGGTCTCTGAAGGCAATCTTACCTCACCTTATCGTTCACATGTCTCTGATTCGCGCCATACAAAATACTTTAGGCTGAGTGAGGTGTCAAAGTAATAGTATAGCAGTGAATCCTCCTCAGTTAGCATTGCAGCATGTTCACAACTCGTTGTCGATAGTTTGCATTCACTGTTAGCATCTTGTTTGGTTACTTTTCAGTCCAAAACCTCAATGCCATAACTTCTATTATCAAAGTACTTTTTACAAGGTAGAATTAAGAGGTGCTAAAACTGAATTTCAGCTATTTTAAAACTAGATTTGAGACACACATGCCATGGCAGTTCACTTTTATCTGGCTTTTGATTCATTACTACTGACAAAAGGATTACACTGAATGTGCTTAATTCAAATTTGCATATGATTTCTACATGAAGAAAAGTTACTACACCAAGGTCTGGTCAGGTTTACAGTAGTTTTGATGATTTGGATTTTTTTTTTACAAAATACAAAAATTGTGTACACACTTGTATTAAACACATTCACTTTTACATCACTTGTTTCAGTATAGTGTGTGATTTCCAGTCTTACTTTCAATATTTAACAAAAATATTTCCCCAGATGCTGATTTATTGCAGTCTTTGAAAACATGTGCTGTACCTCCTGCTTACTGCTGTCACAATGTCATATAAATGTAAATGTTCAGTCATTTGAAGAATAATTAAAACAGCTTTTTATATAGCCATTTTATATAGATCTGCTTATTATTCTGATTGAGCTGGTTATTTGAAGCTGCACTATGTAGGTTTTAGGGATTTGGAGACCTCTCTGGTGGAAATGTGCAATTGCTTGCAGTTGCATGCGAAAAAAATGTGTTATATTGGTTGTTCTTGGGACCTGTTCTCTGAGCGGATGAATCTGATGATCACGAGCATGTTGAAAGAGTATTTAAAGAGAACTCAGTTAAGACTTGGTGAAGGTCCTGTCTTCACAGATGTATGTACATCTGTTGTCATATCTTCATCAGTATGTTGATTTTGCATTTGAGACCTAACACCTGATTCAGCAATATAACATCTTTCAGTTTTAACGGGAAAATTTCATCAAGTGCTGCCTTAATTACCAGAAGTGCAGAGGTGCTTATGCTTCAGCCTTTCCACAGAGGCATAGCCCAGGGGTGGATAGTACCAGCTAGAATGAAGCATGGCCATCGTTCTAACCCCAGTTATTGAAAATGAGACGTTCAACCATCATTAGTCAACTATCAATAATGATCAATTACGCTTTGTGGTGAAACTCTGCCATGGAGTTAGTTATAAGAGCAGGTTGACACTTAATATATAGCATATGTTGCTGTAATAGGCCAATTTACACAGGAGAAGTAGGAGAAGTGAGTCCCCACGGCAGCGCTGTTCTGTGAGCCACTTTATTAAGTAAGCTATTCGATGGTATGTGCGCTATCAAAAATTTGTCAACCATAATCACTTATTTGGTTATGTTTATAGTTTTAGTTAAAATAGAAATAAAAATATCCCTTTTAATTACATTCTTTAAATAGTTAAACACATGAATGTGTTGTAGATTACCTTAAACAGTGCTGTCTGGCTAGCTCTCTAATCATTAGATTCATATAACAGCCTAAATTTATAGCTTTTATGGCTATGTCTATATGAAATGTTATGAAAATTTCTTCTTGAATGACCATCGACACGAGTTTTGTCTTTCAATTTACTTTCAGTAATAATTCATATAATATAGTATCAAATATAATAATTTGACATTTTATTAAAAGAAGTTTTGGAAGTTTTGGACAAATGCAACTATATACTGAAGAAAAAAACAAATCAGTTTTTATGTCATTTTAGTGCAGTAACATTATTTATTTTCCCCAGCAGTGTGCCACTTTAGCTACGGCCCTGTTTTTCCAGTGTCAGTGAGGTTTGTAATAATTCTGGTAATACAGACTTTGTGGTTACCTAAACAGAAGAAAAATATATGTTACTTTCCAGACTGAATCTAAAACGACCCTATAGTGGACCCCTAGTGCACACCCCTGGCCAAATTATATGTTATGTTAGTTTCCTAAGTTAAAATAAGTTAACATATCCTGCACAGAGAACGTACTTAAATAGGACACTCGTCTACAAATTTTAGTGCACAGTTTTGTTTATTTTCTTTAGCTTAACATATAATGATATATGAATGCGTATGACTGTATACTGTACTGAACACACAGATTTCCCTCTAGATTTCTGCTTCTGCCAAACTAGTCTCTGCACTCTAGTAAGAATTATTAACTTAACCTTACGCAAGTGTTTGGCTTAGATACTTAAATGATGTCAGCATCAAATTATGTAAATTAACTGTGGAACTTCCTCTTCTTCCTCGCTGCACAGTGCTGAGTTTCTCCTCCGCGTGTGTGCAGGTGTGTTATTCCTCCAGCTCACCTGCAGGTCGCAGCATCTCACCTGAGTATCCTCCTGAAAACCCCTTATCTGTGTGAACATTAGTTTATGTTTTCAGGCTTCAAAGCACATCTGCTCACATGTCAGTGTCAGTATGTGCTCGCGCTCTGTCTGTGTGAGTCACCAGCACTAGCCCACTTCAGATGAGCTGCTGTGATGAATCAGTGATTATATATACTGTCAGTTAAAAACACCTGACAAAACGTGCGCTTTGGAACAGAAGGGTTTATTGAAATATACGAAGTTTAAAACGTTAAAACCTATTTTAACGTCTGTTTCAGCACCGCGGACAGCGCAATTCATTAAAGTTAAAAAGACAAATAATGAGAAGAGAGTAAACACAGGAACACCCCTCTGTAATCTATCAGCACGTTAATGATCGGGACGTTTAATTATATAATTAATGCAGTCTGAGCCCGTCAGCCGGATCTGTTCAGCCTTTACTGTTCACTGTTATAAACGTGGAACAGGGTAAATATAACTATTCCTATGCAAAAGTTTGTGCACCGCTGGTACATGTTTTTTTGATTAAGTTAACCCATCCTCATTTATCTGCAGCACAGTTTCTAATTATTATCTGAATTTAACATGTTCCGAAAAATAATAAAGCATAAAATGTGCTAGACGTTTTACACAGGCGACATTTGATTCTTTCCCCCAGTTCAGTTCAGCAAATAACAGTAATTGTGTGTTACATTGTGCAGAAGTGTTTTCTCTGTAGAGGATATGTTAAGTTACTTTCACTTAAAAAATCAGCAGAACATGTAATTTGACCAGGGGTGCCTAAACCTTTGCAGACGACTAAGCACACCCAATGTCTACAGTTTAGTATCTGAAAATACATACATTTTACATCAATATCTTAATGCATTCGTTCACTGAATAAACGCATAATACTATTAATACTACTACTACTACTACTACTACTAATAATAATAATAATAATAATAATAATAATAGTAACGTTGCTGTTAACGATATTGATACTATTATGACGATAATGATGACGATTATTGTCATCTTTGTTATTATTATTATACTAACAACAACAGTGACAATAGGAAGAAGAAGATGATGATGAAGAAGAAGAAGAAGAAGAAGAAGAAGAATTTTAACAAAGTATGCACAAATAGTATGTATAAAAATGTAATAGTTATTGTAATATAAACAAGAGAATGCGCAAAAACTGCACGTGACATCTGTCAATTTCACTGGTGATTTCTAATAACACACTGCCAAAGATCTTAATAACTCGTGCCTTTTCCTAACATAAGGTGTGAAGTGAGGCGTGTCCTGATGTTTCTCCTGTCGCTCGAGCAGCCTGATCTGATGACTGAAGGCCATAGTGACGGGGAGCAGGTGCGTGCGAGCGCTGAGATTTGCGCGCACGTGCCGCATTCCTCCTGAACTCCCACAGTAACTGCGGAAGGACAGAGCTGTGTGGTGTGAAGTGCTGGCAGATTTAACAAGAATAAAACACATGCAAACAGAAGGAAACAACACGCGCACACACTGTTCTCCGCTGCATCAGCTTCTCTCTCTTTATTAACAGAGGTCCAGTCTGAACTCCTCTCTCTCCTCTCTCTCTCCTCTCTGAGCAGCTCGGTCTGTCCGCAGCGCTGCAACTAAAACGCGCGCGCTCGCCGACGACCAAAACATGTTTACACCCACATTAAGAAAGATGTATGACCAACAACATCACTATTACAAACTATATACACTTAAATACATACATATATTAAACCATACTTTTCTCATACATTATTTTACAGAATGGAAATGAAATCAGTACCAAACACACAGGAATCAGCGCGTTAACAGCGCACAGCACATACAGCAATGATGATCCACAGACTGTTTGAGTGATGAAGTGGAGAGATCGTGTTAGAGCACAGCGTCCAAAAACCACGACAGGAAAAGTGCACAGAACAGGTGAGTGGCTGGGTAGGTGGGTAACTTTCTCATGCGAATAGAGTTCTCTTGTATTTGAGTGTACACTGTCAGGTACATTTTAGTTTACCAAGGTACAAACAGTGTGAAGCGTACCCTTAAAGGTACAACAACGGCCTTAAAGTAAATGAGCTGTAAAGGTACATCATATTCTCTTTCCCATGGAGACAGCTGTTCATAACCTCACATTTAAAACTGAAAAATACATACAAAAAGCCTGGACTCAAGATGTGACATAGAGAGTCAATGTAGCTTAAAATGTATATATTCACAATGTATGATGGCACAGTTACGGTACGACCCCAGTGACACTTCAATACCTTTTTATTCTGAGAGTCTGTGCGCGTTCTGGTCTCCTCAGCGCCTCTGATGTGACTTTCTCACGCAACTAGATTTAGCATGTGTGATATACTGGCTGTGCATGTGCGCGCGTGCAGGCGCGCGTTTGTGTATGCATCCTCAGGACAGCAGAGAGTCGATTCTGAAGGGGTGGTAGGGAGCCTCAGGCGGCGCGCTGTAGGGAGCGTGGTATCGCGCAGCGCGCTCAGAAAGGCCGGCTGTGGCGCGAGAGCGGCGAAAGGCGCGTGGAGCGCCGGGCAGTTCACGAGAAACGGCGTGAATTGTGACGTCAGTCCGGCGCAGTCCTCCGCGCGCTCCCTGCGCCTGAACGACGGCTTGCTGAGGATGCTCTCGATGGCGAAGGGGCCGGTGAAGCGCGCGCCCGCGCTGTCCCTGGGAGCGTGTTCCAGCGCGCGCTCCCGCGGCCCGGAGACCCTGGCAGGCTTCTTGCTGATGCGCTTCCTCCTGCGGCGGAACACGCCGTCCGCGAACGTGTACTCGCTGTGCGGGTTCAGCATCCAGTAGTTGTCCTTGCCCCAGGGGCGCGAGGGGTCGCGCAGCACCTTGAGGAAGCAGTCGTTGAGCGACAGGTTGTGGCGCACCGAGTTGCGCCAGCCCGTGTAGCTGCCGCGGAAAAACGGGAACTTCTTCATCAGGTAGTCGTTGATCTCGGCCAGAGTGAGGCGCCCCGAGCCCGAGTCCCGGATGGCCATCGCGATCAGGGCGATGTACGAGTACGGCGGCTTCGGTCTGCGCGCGTACGCCTTAGGCTTGCTGTCTGGGGCGCGCGACACCTCCGCCTCCTCGGATGGCGCCAGTGCCGGTGCCGCTGCTGGACTGCACGCGGCGAAGTCTCCGTCCGAGCCCAGCTCGTCCTCGCCGGACAGCGGCGAGTCCGGCGGCATCGCGGCGACAGAGAAAACCTCCAGCTTCATGTCCGCGAACAGCTGCTGTACACGCGGCGCGCTCCGCTCATCTGCGGGGAGAAGAGAAACAGTAAGGTTTCACACGGTCCTCACGGGACAACTGCGCGCACGAGCCTAACGGGAGAACATATAAACAGGACCGGGACAAAAGAGGCCGCCCACGAAAGGGGCGGGGCTTAGTGTACCCACCTGCTCGAGGTGGAAATTATCTGCAGAGAGCATTCAGGTACTGTGGGCTAGTGAGCTGGAACATTTTCAGCTGCTGCTCGCCAGTAGGTGGGACAGTGCGTTAGATCATAGGCAATATTTCTTTTGGCTCATTTAGAAAGAATCCACTGCAGTCAGCCCTTCTAATGAGTGAATCCAGCTACTTCAAGGTGAGGCCATCGCTGATACAGGTGTCCAGTTGCACATAAACAGTTTATATAATATCCATAGAAAAACATTGATAATAGAATGGGACACACATTAGTCTAAGGTCACTCTGCCCAAAGCCAAGTGTTAGCTAGGGGGAGAAAAGTGGGACTACGTTCTCTGGAGTGAGGGAGCTCCATCCTCTGTCTTCGGCATGTGCTGGAGAACTAATCACCCAACATCATCAGTACCTGATCTCACTAATGCTTTTGGTGACATAATCAGATCTGAGTTAAAGTTCCAACATCCAGTGTAAAGCCCTCTGAGAAGAGTAGAGACTGTCCATCAGGAAACAATCCAATTGTTGCTGAACTCCATTTCATGCATTCATTCTGAGTTCCTAATTCCTCTTTTGGAGTTGAATTTAATTCCGTTCAGCACCTAGACTGCTTTGCTAATGCTCACACCTGTCATTTTTGAGCTGTAGCAATTTATAGCACTTCCATCGCAGTTCTGTGTGAATCGCAATACTTAAGAAGCTGATTTATTCATGAGGTGGCTATTTTTTTATTCAAGTTATTTATTGTTCTTTATTATAATTAAAGGTCCATGCCATGGAAAACCAATCTTCTAACTTTATTAAAACAAGAGTTTGATGGCATTTTTTAAAGTTTACATATCATTCACAGTCTTGTTCATACAGTCCATATATGGACAAGCTGCAAAAAAAGCCCATTTTGAATTAATTACTTTTTGTGACATCACAAAACCAAAGTAGTATTCAGCATACGGCATTTTAGCCCCACCTATTCACACTAAAGCTATGAGGAATGTTTCAGCCCAAACTACTTTTTAAATGATGTGCCTCATTCAAAAACTGAAATGCTCATTATAACTTCAATGAAGATGGGTCTGGAGAACTGCTGTAGGCTGAAATGAATAATATGTAAATCTGTTGGGTTTTTTGCCTCTTGGTTTCTGAACATCATCACTGTCCTAAAAAAACAGCTGCCCCTTACATTGTGTGAAAATGTCATGATGAATTCACCAGTAGAATCAATAGAATCACTTAGAATAAAATCTCTTTACATTAACTTACAGTCAAAGTAAAGAACGTTGCCTTCTTCTGTAAAGTTGGAGATGCTTGTTTTTCTTTGTACAGCGATGATGTGGACTGTATGCACCAGTGAGTAAACAGTATGTTTTTAAACAATGTTTACATACTACATTAACTCTTTTATTTATAAAAGTGAGGTAAATTTAGTCTTCCATTACATGGGCCATTTAAAGACATGACCAAGGGTTCTACAAGAGATACAGGAATTTTGGAAAATGACCATGTCTGTTTTTGGTATACGACTCATAAGTAATTGCCTAAGTAAACCTCAGGGGACACAATAAAATACAAAAAGAAAAATGTAGGATATGTTCTATGCAGTTTCTTTAACTTTTACATGTGTCTGTATTTCACTGAAGATAAGTTTGATCTTCTCAACCCACCTCTCCATCTCTCTGCATCGAGTGAACTTTCCTTGTTAAAGTGAATCAAATTCTGCTGCAGCACTTCCTGACACGCAGAAGAACGGGGAAGTGTTGTGTGTTTGGATGGATGCCACACAAGCAGTGTGTGCAGGTGAGAAACAGATAGGGTGTGTGTGTGTGAGTGATAATTGTATAGGTGAGTGCAGTTACTCAGGTCACTGGCAGGTCAGACGGTTCCTGGCACAGCAGAAAGGTGAGAGGCTGCTGAAGTCTCTCTAAATGAATGAATCAATGAGTGACATCTGGACAGGGCAGGGCAATCAAAGCTTTAATGCTCTAGACATTAGTCTAAACCTGATTTATTCATGCTGAATGGCTTTGACTGCAGCCCACTCTCACCCCCACCCCCCGGCTTTGACTTCAGGCTCAATTCCTGTCTTTCACTCCACTGAACTCACAGCTGAAAGTTGTGTAAAGTTAGCTGAGTTCCTCGCGTGCCATGAGGCGGCTGATAATCATTAACTTGTCCTCTCTGCCACACCTTTGAGCAGCAGCCCACGGGATATTTTCATTTCGCATGAATCCATTTTCATCAGCACCTAATGAGTGTGTATTTTTACTGGGTTCATCGAGCAGACAGACAAGCCTCTACAACACACACACACACACACACACACACACACACACACACACACACAAACAAATATACACACACAAAAACACACAAATGCACATACACACAAGCACACACAAACAAATATGCACACACATACACACAAGCATACACAAACAGACAAAACACACACAACCACACATACAAGCAAATGTACATACACACACCACACACACATACACACACAAATAAGCATACACACAAAACATGCACGCACAGTAGACACTGACACACAAACAACCCAAAACAAACATACTCACATACACACAAAACATACACAAAAAAATACACACAAAAACACACAAACACATGCACACAAACACACACACAGGCACACAAACAATACACACCCATAAACACACATACACAAATAGGCATGCACACAAAACATGCACACACAAAGAACACAAAAACAACAGACACACAAACAGCACAAAAACATCACACAAGCACACACACACAGAAACACATATACACAACATGACAAACAACCACACAACACACACACCCCACACAAGTAAAACAAATAGATAAGTGCAAAACATGCACATACGATACACACATAATGTACACACACACACATATACACAAACACACACAAATGCATACACACACAAGCATACAAACATACATACATGCACACACCACACATGCATACAAACAGCATACACAGATAAACACACATAAACAATACATAAACACACAACCACACATGCACACACCCACCCACACACACACACACAGAACACACAGTGACAGAGAAATAGCATTAAGTGGTAATATTGAAAGTCAAACCAAAACCAGACAACCAACTCATTCATACAGTTTCGGTTTTTGAACAGCCTTAAAAGTAAAGTGTTCTGTGGAGCAATGCTATAAACTGTAAAAAGTCACATCTACTAGAGATATTAAGTCAACTGTCTGCCCCTCAGCCCAGTCAGAGTGAGTTGGGCAAATTTATCACACATGCAGTTGCAGTTCTAGAATGTAATTATAACGTAGCATCAGCTCCATTATCGCTATATTTTGACATACTGGTTCCAGAAACAGATAAGGAGGAAGTTAGAATAAAAATAAAAAGTCTCCTCTACGTGGCAGAAATGGGCTTCCATTTACAATCCATATTTCAGGTTTTAAAAAATTATACTTATTGAAGATATCATGTTGCAGACTGCAGGACAGATATGAAAACGGTCACCATGGATGAGATATTATGAATAAGAAAGAGATAAACTGACGTCAGTTCTGTCTTGTGTACAGTTGACGGAGGCTAACTGATGAGGGATGTTGTCAAGAAAGTGGTTCTTTCTGTGAGTCACAAGTATACAATTGTGTCAGTGTCTATATGAGGCGATCAAAGGGCAATAAAGATTTTAGGGGGCCCAGTCACCACAGGTCTTCCTGCACCATGTCCCAGTGTGATTGCCCCTCCTGCATTTCTGCCTATAGTTACGCTCCTAACACTTTTTGACACCTTCATTTTTTTAAGAATGTACTTCACAATGTGGAAGAACAAATCACATAATCAGACCGTAGAGAAATATTTAATCCTTTTTGCTTCTTTTGAATAGTCAACATCACTTCCACTTCTAGCTTTAACATGAAACAGACTCCAGGCTCACATGTGTTAGTCTGAGCAGTGCTATACGTTTCAGGACTACTGATACTACAAGACCTTGCAATCCAACTGCCAAACCCACTTACAAACAGCTCACATGTGACTTAGCCTCCAGTCCACTCATAAACATACACTTCAATTTGCTTTGATGAATGCTCGTGGAATAAATCGCGTCCTGATGTATAAAGCTGACCACAGCTTCGTTGAGAGGTTACAATGCCTCTAAATAATCCTGCATGCATTCGAATGCCTCAGCTGCTTCCGATTCCCCAGCCATAACTAAAATAAATACAAATCTGGTTGCTTGGCCCGAAGAGCGGATCCAAACCGCTGAAGTGAGATTGTATTTCTGCAGTTTAGTCATGTTCCTTCCTGTTCCAAAACAAAATGACTTCCAGCAGCTCGAATGCTCAAGCAACCCTGAAAATGACATTTAAAATGTCACCAAATATTCAGAATGGTATAAACATGTTCGATTGCTGAAAAACATATTGTGGTTAAGGAGGTGCACTGCTCCACATATGGTTTTCACAAAGCTTTAGCAGATGTCTAAAAGGTTGAGATGCAGTAATAAATATGTATATATATCACTTGGATTCCATGTCATTGCACTGAACCAGTCTCCCCTCATAGTACACCCTTAAAAAAGATGGTTCTTCAAGGGTTCTTTGGTGAAGACAATGGTTCTATATAAAACCATGATTAAGAAATGCATGCTTAAAAGCGTTCTTTGCATGATGAAATGGTTCTTCTGTTTGACAGAGAATGTGTTGTATATGGTTCTATATAGCGTCAAAAAGGTTTCTTCTATTGTTCTGATGTCAAGCTTCTAACAATAGAAGAACCCTTTTTGGTACTATATAGCACACTTTTCAAAAAGGTTCAATATTAAAACCATATGCAACACATTCTCCATCAATCTGAAGAAAAATGAAAATGCCAAAAAAGTATTTAAGC